TGGTCAAATGAAATAAAAGCAAAATACATTCTAAGCTGATCTTAACACTTTCAGTGCCCTTACAAACTTAAATGCTTCTCACCACAGGCTGGCAGGTTGCCCTTCAGCCAGGCTCTCCCCTTTGATCAGAACTTCAGTCGCTTGGTGGTGTGTCTGTAGATGGAGGTGGGAGAGAGAGGAAGAGCATGGCAAATGTCTCTCCCTTTTATCGTGTCCTTTCTTCCCTCTGGGTTTTGTCCCCTCCCCTTCCGAGTCAGGTGAGAATTACCTCATTGCAGTCCCAAACTGACCAAAGGAAGGGGGGCAATTCCCTAGAGACTAGCAGGTCCTTTTGTTGTTGCCTAGGCCAGCTTCCTTTTTTCCTGTGAGGGTGGGCGGGGTTTGTCCCATACATGCCCGGGTGAGGTGTGAACTGCCTCTCTGTTCTTGGAGAGTTTTTGCCTGGGCTGTCTTTAAGCCATGAGGACACATTTTCAGCCTCATAACTATATACATGAAATTATAACCTATAACATTATTGTAACAATTACTATAACATCACTATAACAACCATGCCTTCCGAAGACACCCAACATGACAAACTTTGCACTGAATCATAGAATATCAGGGTTGGAAGGGACCTCAGGAGGTCATCTAGTCCAACCCGCTGCTCAAAGCAGGACCAATCCCCAACTAAATCAGATACCACACAATCATTTTACAAGGATGAACATGGGGGTGCTGGGTGTTTCCCCAAGGTACAGAGCATCACCACAAGTGGAGTTCTCAGGCAGGGGGTGTGGGATTTGGGAATCACTTAACCAGCCTGATTGGTTCCTGCCGTTACGGTACTTCCCCAGGGTAGATTCCTGCCTCAGCAGGCAGAGCAGGCTATTTCCTCTCACCTCCCACAGCGTGCAAAGGGCAGGGATGCTGCCAAAACACTAATCTCTGTATTCTCAGAGCCAGCTGTGTTCCCTGCTGGCTCAGTGCCCATTCACACTCAATGACTGTCAGTGCCTTCACCTGCCTCTTGAGATTGGGGGCGAGGGATGAAGTGTCCCCCTTCTCCTGAGGGAGGTTGGATGGTTGTTGAAGAACTGGCAGCAGGAGTGGTGATGTGCAGATGCAGATACTGGTTGGGGGAGTCACAAATTTCATTGATGTGGGGTTATTGTCCAGGATGGGATGCAGAGGTCATTTATGTGGGTCTGGGAGCAGGGTGAGGTCACAGGGGTAACTGATCTGACAGTGCAGGCGTGCAGAATTAAACTGATGTAGGACTAGACCGGGGGGAACATGTGAGACTGAATTAGGGGGGACACAATTAATTAATTGGCATCCATGTTTTTCAGGAGGAGATGGAAATCCTTTGGTCATCAAGTTTCAGAGGAACAGCCGTGTTAGTCTGTATTCGCAAAAAGAAAAGGAGTACTTGTGGCACCTTAGAGACTAACCAATTTATTTGAGCATGAGCTTTCGTGAGCTACAGCTCACTTCATCAGATGCATACCGTGGAAACTGCAGCAGACTTTATATATACACAGAGAATATGAAACAATACCTCCTCCCACCCCACTGTCCTGCTGGTAATAGCTTATCTAAAGTGATCATCAGGTGGGCCATTTCCAGCACAAATCCAGGTTTTCTCACCCTCCACCCCCCCCACACAAATTCACTCTCCTGCTGGTGCTAGCCCATCCAAAGTGACAACTCTTTACATAATCAAGTCGGGCTATTTCCTGCATAAATCCAGGTTTTCTCACATCCCCCCCACCCCCATACACACACAAACTCACTCTCCTGCTGGTAATAGCTCATCTAGTGGTCAGTTTAGATGAGCTATTACCAGCAGGAGAGTGAGTTTGTGTGTGTATGGGGGTGGGGGGGATGTGAGAAAACCTGGATTTATGCAGGAAATAGCCCGACTTGATTATGTAAAGAGTTGTCACTTTGGATGGGCTAGCACCAGCAGGAGAGTGAATTTGTGTGGGGGGGGTGGAGGGTGAGAAAACCTGGATTTGTGCTGGAAATGGCCCACCTGATGATCACTTTAGATAAGCTATTACCAGCAGGACAGTGGGGTGGGAGGAGGTATTGTTTCATATTCTCTGTGTATATATAAAGTCTGCTGCAGTTTCCACGGTATGCATCTGATGAAGTGAGCTGTAGCTCACGAAAGCTCATGCTCAAATAAATTGGTTAGTCTCTAAGGTGCCACAAGTACTCCTTTTCTTTGGTCATCAAGCAGAACTTGATGCAAACATTCTAATTTTATTCAAATGTAACTTTTTAATGTAGCTTTAAAAACTGCTGGAGGGGTTTTGTGACATGATATTGACAGTTATGGGGGCTATGTAAGAAGGAGTAGGACAGAAAACACTCAGAGTGAACAGCTCCCTCATACTGGAGACATTTCTCATAATCCCAGAGTTGCTCATATTTCAGTGCCAAAAAAATGAGAATGCAAAAGACAGCTTGAAAACTCGCACAATTTGTGAACTCCGAGTATAGTTTATTTGGTATAAATGACAGAGAAATGCAACAACATAGTTTCAATAATAAGGTAAGTTATTTCTGTAAGCAAGGATGGAGCTGTTTGTTATCCTGCAAAACCGTAACAAAATAGATTCATGTAGATACAACAGTGAATGGCAGGGATTCCTGGACAACATTTCTGTGATAAATTAAAGTCTATCTAATATGCACAGTGTGGAGTAGACTATTTGTCATAGTGAGACAAATGCCAGTTCTGTATTTGATATATATCGTCTAAGGCACAGTTCACTGCCAGCGACATACATGATCTTATGAATGATTTAAGAAGACACTTCATCTCTATTTTTTTCTGATTGACTTGCTTCATTATTGCTATAACAACCCCGATTCTCAGTGGGTATAAACTGAAATAACTCCATTAAAGTCAGTGCAACGAGGCTGATTTCCACCACCTGAGGATCAGGCCCTTAAAATGTATATGCCATATAATGCTCTAGATTTTGCAATATCAATGAAATCTGGTCTTCTCCTGTCCTCTGTGGTTTTTACCTTCTCTGTTGCAGATTCCCTTGACAAGGTAGATTTCAGTTCAGACAGTGAGAGCTAACACTTTCCACAGGAATACAGCTATACAGAGAAATATAAACATGCACATGCTCAGGACAAAATATGACCCAATCCAATACCCACTGAAGGGACCTGTTGACTTGCAAGAGAATTGGATTGGACTCTTATGCCTTGATATTAAAGACCTCATCCCGGCCTCCGGGTCTGCAGGCACAAAACTGGGCCTTCAGTTACCTGTGCTCACAGCTGCAGGTGCAAAAGTGAGCACTTGTGCATCTACTAATTGATTTGTGTGGCATTGTTCTAATGTAGAGGCAATTAATTGAAGATGTAAATTTGCATGAGCTAAAATAGGGGCTGAGTTGTAAAATCAAACCCTAAATATTGCATCAGGCTTTGGTTACAGTCTCCTAAAAATCTGAAAAGCCACTGATTTTTCTGTTGCTTGTCTTCACATAGAACTTACGTCTTCAAGCTCTTTTTGGTCTATTTGCTACCTTTAAGATCACTTAAACAATATGTACCTTTGAGAAAACTCTGTGACTAAACAGAGCAAGAAAATGCATATCTGAAACCTAGATGTGCTATTTTTTATTAACACCACAAAATGCTCTGCAGAGCTTTAGCAAGTAAAGCATGGCAAACGGTATCATTTTTCAAGTGATTTTTGAAGCATTGTTCATATTTAAATATTCCAGTTTGAAAAATCAATAAAAAATTTTCAGGAAAATACTGCCTAGTCACCTTGAATATTTCTCTTTTGGCACTTGACTTACTTGCGTTCACTTTCAAGGCCCTTCACAGCTTATCCTCACCCTACCTCGCATCTTTCATTCAGTTTCAAGATGCTGACTCTTGCCGCCAGTAGGCCCAACGTATCAGCCTCCATTGCCCACTTGTTACATTTTCAATATCTTTTTGCTCTCTCCCATGTGGCCCGCCTCACACCTCATAAACACCCACCAGGTGTGGGGGAGCAGGTTCAGCCCGGCAGCAGGATCCAAGTGCAGAGGGACTTTGTGTGGGGGGATCCAGGTGGGGGTAAGAGAGTTCTCTGTGGGGCAATCTGGGTGTTGGTGGCTTAGTGGGAGATCTGGATGCACAGAAGCTCATTGGGGGGAGGGGGTTCCGAGTGCTGGGGCAACGGGACTCTGCAGGGGATCTAGGTGAAGGTGTTTGGGGCTCAGCAGGATCGGGGGGGGGTTGGTGCAGGGGAGGTGGGCTTCATTTGGATGAGGGTCCAGGTGCAGGTGATTGGGGCTCAGTAGCAAGGGTGTCTGGGGAGGGGTGCATTGGGGTGGTACAGCTGCAGGGGAGGTGGGGCTTGTCAGGGTGAGGGTTTGATGGGCCTGCTGAACAGGGGAGCCCCAGCTTCTGCCAAGGGGATGCCGCATGCTGGGCTCTAGCTTCCCCCCTGCCCCTGCTTGCCCCACCCCTTTCTCTTCCCCCTCCCATGCCCCTTCCCCACTGCTCCATCTCCTCCCCACCCCACCCCTTCCTTCCCCACTGCCTCTTCCGCCTACCCCCGCTTCCCCTATCCTTTTCTCTTCCCCATCCCATGCCCCTTCCCCCCAGCTCCAGCTCCATCTCCTCCCCATCCCACCCCCTTCCTTCCTCCCTGCCTCTTCCCCCCCACCCGCACTTCCCCTATCCCCTTCTCTTCCCCATCCCATGCCTCTTCCCCATTGCTCCATCTCCTCCCCATCCCACTCCCTTCCTTCCCCCCTGCCTCTTCCCCTCTGCCCCTGCTTCCCCCATCCCCTTATTTTTCCCATCCCCACTGCCCCATCTCCTCCCCACCCCACCCCTTCCTTCCCCACTGCCTCTTCCCCCTGCCCCTGCTTCCCCTATCCCTTTCTCTTCCCCATCCCATGTCCCTTCCCCACGGCTCCATCTCCTCCCCATCCCATCCCCTTCGTTCCCCCCTGCCTCTTCCTCCCTGCCCCCGCTTCCCCTATCCCCTTCTCTTCCCCATCCCATGCCCCTTCCCCACTGCTCCATCTCCTCCCCAGGCTTGGGGGGCAGGGGAGAAACCGCCCCCCAGCACGAGCCAGCGGAGCAGAGCGGGTTGGGGTCGGGTCGCTCCACTTCCTGCCAGCCGGCGGTTGCAGGGCGGGCCCGACCCCACACTCATGGGGCGTCAGGAAGTGGAGTGACACGGCCCCAGCCTGATCCGCTCTGTTCCCCTGGCTCCCAGCCTTGGGACTTGGGGGGTAGGGGGGAACCTTCCCCCAGCACTCACCGGCGGCGCGGCTGGGAGCCGGCAGAGTGGAGCGGCCTGGGGCTGGGTCGCTCCACTTCCCGGTGCCCGGTGAGTGCAGGGTGGGCCTGACCCCTGCTGCAGTCCCCCATGATGCATAGCTCAGGGAAGGGGGTGGAGTGTGGGTGGGGCTGGGGCGGAGCAGGGGTGGGAAGTGGTGGGGCGAGGGAGGAGCATGGGCGGGTACAGCTTTCCTGGCCGGCTCAGCTGGCTGGGGGATCAGGCTGGCCGGGGCCCCTTCTGAGTCTGGGCCCGGTGCCATGGTGCCACTGGAGCTATGGTAAACCCGGTACTGCTTCTTCATTGTGAGGTAATACACTCGGTTGGCTTCTGGGTAAGTGGCTTTGGCGAGAGGTAACTTGTAGATGGCGGAGTTGTTTGTGGTTAGTAACAGAAAGGTGAGTGCAGACAAGCAGAAAGGCCAGGTAAATGATGGCAATCCAAACTGAAAAGAAGAGAATATTCATCATTTTAATCATTCTATGATCCTCCTTAACTTAATCCTCCAGCCTTAAACATAATTCAAAGCTAGGTGGTCCACGATGAGCCTTCTCAGGGGAGTCTTGTTTCCCAAGTGGGTAGCTGCCTTTCTCCTCTTTATCAAAGCATAGCCATTTGCTTGTGGGATGGTAACAACATTATGGGACCGGTCACATACAATGAGTACGGGCTGCACAGAGAATGGTATATGACTAAATCTTTCCCTCTGTCACATCTATGCAACTCCAGTGAGGTCAAGTGTGAAGCAGGGCAGAATGTGGCCAGCAGGCTATAGATATGAATGCAGGAGTAGAAGCCAGAAAATTAACTCTGCCCTGGTTCTTAAACCAACGCCTTTTGGGGACCGGGGCAAGTTGTTGTCCTCATCATCATCATCATGACAAATCCCAAAGGGACCTGGCTTCCTTGCAAATTGAGGGCCATCTGGATCAATCTCTGGCTCGGTCCTTAAGGTGGTCTACCTGGGCAAGTCACTTAGTCGTATGTCCTCAAAGGCATTCAGGTGCCTAATTCCCATTGTGGGAGTTAGGCGCCTACATACCTTTGATGAGTGGGACCTTAGTGTCTTCAGCTGTAAAATATGGCTAATGATCCCTACCTTGTGGAGATATTGAGGGACGATTAGTTAATGTAGGGCCTGCACTTTGAAGATGAAAAGTTCAAAGTTATTTATAATATATTTTACTGAGCACTGCAACTGTCCCATGTGGCAAAACCTGTTCCAGCTCTGGCGGGCTTGAGGGATGCCTTCTCAATGGGATGGATTGGCTCTATTCATATAACCTGTTTATACCACACTGGAGATTAGGAAACTAAATATCAAGGATTTAAATCTGTCTTTGGAAACACATCTCACTTCCCTATTAGTTGGCCCCGAGCTATTAAAAACTTACCACAGAAAACATATTGGCCACAGTTGCTCCCAGGTAAGCACAAAAGAATGCTGTGAAAAGAGACAGACAGACAATTCCTGATAAATAAGATTACTCACAGCACTGAAGAAACGAGTAAGGACAGCGGTTTTGGGCAAGACCTACCACTGCACTGTACAATCCCCTCCTCCTGTCATTCATGAGAGCATAAGGATTAGTCTCATTCTGAACTCTTCTTTTCACAGAAAGTGTGTGCTCCTTCCAACCATGCCAAAGGCACAATAGTTCATGCCCAGCAATAGAAATGAAACAACGAAAAGATCTAATCTACCTGGATTTCAGGAAAGCAGTCCCACATGGGGTATTATTCGTTACATTGGAGAAGATGGGGATTAATAAGAGAATTGAAAGGTGGTTAAGGAACTGGTTAAATGGGAGTCTATAATGGGTATTGAACTATCAGGCTGGAGGGAGGTTTACTAGTGGAGTTCCTCAGGGATCAGACTTGCCACCAATCTTAACATGTTAATTAATGACCTTGTCTCAGGGTCTCAGCTGACTGCTATATTTGGGATCGGGAAGGAATTTTCCCTCAGGTCAGAGACACTGGGGTTTTTTTCACCTTCCTCCATAGTGTGGGTCACTTGCTGGTTTGAGTTACTGTAAATAGTGGCTTCTCTGTAACTTGAAGTCTTTTAATCAAGATTTCAGGATTTCAGTAACTCAGCCAGAGGTTATGGGCATATTACAGGAGTGGGTGAGTGAGGTTCATGAGGTGAGCAGTAGGTCAGACTAAATGATCATGATGGCTCCTTCTGGCCTTAAAGTTTACAAGCATGATGGGATAACATGATTTTGGCAATTAACTGATCTTTAACTATTCATGGTAAATAGGCCCAACGGCCTGTGATGGGATGTTAGATGGGGTGGAATTTGAATTACTACAGAGAATTCTTTCCTGGGTATCTGGCTGGTGAATCTTGCCCACATGCTCAGGGTTCAGCTGATCGCCATATTTGGGGTCGGGAAGGAATTTTCCTCCAGGGCAGATTGGAAGAGGCCCTGGGGGTTTTTCGCCTTCCTCCGCAGCATGGGGCACGGGTCACTTGCTGGAGGATTCTCTGCACCTTGAAATCTTTAAACCATGATTTGAGGACTTCAGTATCTGAGACATAGGTGAGAGGTCTATCGCAGGAATGGGTGGGTGAGATTCAGTGGCCTGCATTGTGCAGGAGGTCAGACTAGATGATCATAATGGTCCCTTCTGACTTTAATATCTATGAGTCTATATCTATGAGTCTAAGTCTCAGAGTGTGACTGTGGAGAGAGAATCATTGGAAACATGTCTGCTGAAATTGCAAGGATGCACCACGAAGGCTGGTATGGAAAACACTGTTCCACCCTGTATCTCTTCTGTCTTTAGGATACAGCCAGACTATAATGGGTGAAGCCAGTGAAGAAATCAAATCTCATTTGTTGAATGAGAAAAGGGTCCATTCCTGATGCGGATATACTGAAACCTGACATGAATTGCTTTATAAAGGCATATCAAGAACTCTGTGCTAACTCACAATTCCACTCTCCATTTAAATAGGGATAGTAAGGTGTGCAATGTAGTTTCAGGTAGAGATGGATATGGAGCAGTCTGGTGCTGATTGTCTCCAGAGTTTAGGCATGTCCATATCTGGGGAAATAGTTTGGGTCCATCCCTAGTTTCAGCTATACCAGCATGACATGTTGAAGAGCACTGAATAGATACATTTTATACATCAGAACATCTAGTGATAAGTCACAGAGTCATTAGGTAAACAGCTCTTGAAGGATGTTTCCTTTGGCATGGCAGAAGGCAAAGGTATCATTTTTGTTTTGATTGCATAAATTATAGGGATGGTTCCTAATCAATACCTTTGAGGGAAATAATCTTCAGCCTTGCCTAAGTTCATCTGCAGACCTAGCTGTGAACTTTGTGGCTTCACCCCTCTCTCGTACAAAAGCCTCCTGTATTTTCGTTTTCAGAAGGAATCACCCCAGTAATAGACACCCATCAGGTACATACCACAGGCAATTGCTAGCAGGTGGGTCTGCCATGTCAGAGCATAGAACATGCCCCCGATAGCGATGCATGCGAGGCAACTGTTGTAATTCCATAAGCCAGCATAGATATTGCTAAAAGGTGCTGCTAGGCTCAGTGCTGTAAAGAAAGTCAGAAAAATGTCACTGCTGGGCTTAAGGAATAAAAGAAGCTAAGAATTAGAATGAATCAGACTTATAAAGGGTTCAGTTCTGCGCTCAGGGGTATCACTCCCATTGGGCCAAGCTCTGGTTTCATTCCCACTGGTGTAAATCCAGAGTTACACCAACAAAGCCAGTGGAGTTACTCTGGACTTCCTGGGTGACTGAGGACAGAATCCCTGTCTTCTATGACCTCACTGGCAGCCGATGAATTAAGGCAGATTTGGACCGTGAGGCCTAGATTCACAAAGGTATTTAGGCACCTAACTCCCAGGGGAAGTTAGCCATCTAGGTACCTTTGTGAATCTGAGCCTAGCAGCCCTACATTTCAGAACCACAGAAATCTCTTGTTCTTTGTAGAGCTGGTCAAAAAGATTGGTATATTTCTTGAACATTTTTTTGTTTTATTTGAACTTTACCACAAAATATATTTCAAGTTTTCAATGAAAAATTTCTAAACAAAATTTTAAAAAAGATATTTGAAAAATGTTGTTTCATTTTGGTCTGTAAAAATCACTTGCACTCTCTCTCTCTCGCTCTCTTTCTCTCACTTTTTTTTTTAAAACTGTTTGTCCATTGAGAAAGGGGAGAGGAGGAGTGAAAGTCGCTTTCCCCTCTCACTGCAACAAAATGTTTTTTTTTTTTTGAAAAAAGCAAAACTTCAACCAAAACGCTTTTTGGAAAAGTTTTCATTTTTGTCAAAAAAGCCATTTTCCATGAGGAAAACCATGTATAGATTGCAAATGTTTCCACCGGCTTTAATTCTTTTCATATTAAGTGATCGTGTATGACATCTGTAAGAGAGAAATAGTCTGTAATACCTGCCAGCATCCCCACTGTTGATCCAATTGCAGCATGCAAGCAAATGAGAGGAGAGGAGAGTAATAAAGCAATCAGGAAGATGCCACCAGTCCAGGGGTTATCACAGCCGTACACCTGGCCGACACCGACTGGAATGGATTGTAGCAGCTATAGACATTTTAAAAGGAGCGGTTAGTATATATTATTTGCAGTGCTGTTGTAGCCATGTTGGTCCCAGAATATAAAAGAGACAAGATGGGTGAGGTAATATCTTTTATTGGACCTACTTCTGAGGTGTTAATGCCCACTTCATTTTGAATATTTTCTTGCCACATGTGTTAACTTCTTACACTTAACAATCAGTTCCACCTTGTATTTCTCAGTGACACTTGAGGTATGTCTACACTGCAATTTAACTCCCATGGGTGGCCCAGATCTGATGACTTGGACTAGGGGTGCTTGGGCTATGGGGCTGTATAATTGCAGTGTAGACTTTCAGGCTTGGGCTGGAGTCTGAGCGCTGGGACCCCACAAATCAGGAGGATCTCAGAGCCCAAATGTCTACATGGCAATTAAACAGCCCCACAGCCCGAATCAGCTGACTGGGTCCGGCTGAAGGTGGTTAACTGCATTGTAGACGTACCCTCTGATTACCTTTCCTAGTTCTGAGGAAGAGCCCTGTGGTGCTTGAAAGCTTGTCTCTTTCACCAAGAGAAATTGGTCCAAAGATATTATCTCACCCATTTTGTGTCTCAGCTTGTTATAGAGTTCGTTATTTCATTTTTCTGAACATACAAACAAAACCAAATAAACGGGGATTTCCCATAGTAATGACACAGGGATTAGGAGGAAGAAATCCTCACTTCTAGGGCCTTATGCATCTGAGAGGAGGGCACTACTAGTGCTTATGGATTGGAGTAGCAGATAGAGCCCACATTCGCCCCCCCTCCACTCATTTTGTGGCCCCATGAATCTGCACTGGACTTGTACCCCCAATAATGGAAAGATCCTGTATAATTTAAACTAATGGGATTCAATAAAAAGCCCTCCAAATACCTATAGAATTTAATAAAAATGCCAACCTGTTTCTATGCAGTGTGGCTGTAGCCAGGTCGGTCCTAGGATATTAGAGAGATGTGGTGGGGGAGGAAGAAGCAGCTCTGTGTGGCTTGAAAACTTGTCTCTTTCACCAACAGAAGTTGGTCCAAGAAAAGATATTCCCTCACCCACCTTGTCACTCTAACAACTTGTTAATAGTTTATTTTTTAATCAGCCTACAAAATTCTATAGCCTGGATGTAGTTTTGGATCATCCTATAGAATTCAGTAGAAAATACTCACAGAAAATGTATCTATTAAATTCTACAGGGATTTTCCATAGGGAATGGCCACACTCCTCGCCACCCACTTCCTTTAACCCCTGTGATGAGCCATGTAATTTTTAACCATGATGCACAGAGGATAGGATTTTGACTTTATCTGTGCTGGGTCCTCCTGTATGGAGCAGATCTTCATAGAAACATAGATTTTAAGAGCGGAAGGAATCATTATATCATCTAGTGTGCTTTCCTCTCTATCACAGACCATAGAATTTCATCCAATTACTGCTGAATTGAGCACAGTAACTTGTGTTTGACTAAACACTATCTTTAGGAAAGGCCTCCAGTCTTGATGTGAAGACATCAAGATACGGAGAATCCACCACTTTCCTTAGTAGTTTGTTCCAGTAATTAATCAACCTCACTGTTAAGAATTTGTAAGTGGAATTTGTCTGGGTTTAACTTCCAGCCATTGATTCCTATTATGCCTTTCTCCACTAGGTTAAAGAATCCTTTACTATCTGGTATTTTCTTCCCATGAAGTGACTTATACACCACGATCAAGACATTTCTTGATTTTCTTTTTTGATCAGCTAAACAGATTGAGTTCCTTAAGTCTCTTACTGCAACTGCTGCTCTCAGTCCTAATGCAATTGCTTCACTGCACACTGTTGAGGTAGAAAAAACACCAGAAAGGCCCCCTTCTGCCCCTCAAATTCCATATGAAAGTCTATGGGAGAGTTTAATCAGAGTGAAGTCCTGGCAGCAAAGCTGAAGCTTAAACAGTGGAAAGAAAAGGAGGACTTGGGGAACCTTAGAGACTAACAAATTTATTTGAGCATAAGCTTTTGTGAGCTACAGCTCACTTCATCGGATACATTCAGTGGAAAATACAGTGGGGAGATTTATATACATAGAGAACATGAAACAATGGGTGTTACCATACACACTGTATCTCCCCACTTTATTTTCCACTGAATGCATCCGATGAAGTGAGCTGTAGCTCACGAAAGCTTATGCTCAAATAAATTTTTTAGTCTCTAAGGTGCCACAAGTACTCCTTTTCTTTTTGCGAATACAGACTAACACGGCTGCTACTCTGAAACCTGTCGTTAAACAGTGAAGTATTTCAAAGCCAGGCCTCAGGCTTTCCCAGTGATTACTGCCAGTCTGTGTTCTGTTTCAGAGTAACAGCCGTGTTAGTCTGTATTCGCAAAAAGAAAAGGAGTACTTGTGGCACCTTAGAGACTAACCAATTTATTTGAGCATGAGCTTTCGTGAGCTACAGCTCACTTCATCAGATGAAGTGATCTCACTCACAGATCATCACTCACAGATCAGTCTGTGTTCTGTGGCTGCCACCACCTGGATCTCTTGGGGATTTTACATTTCATCTGATAGCACAAGGCCTGATCTAATTCCCATTATAGACCATAGGAGTCTTTCCATTGACCACAATGAGCATTGGATCAGGCCCATGGTCCCTGGAGTTGAAGAAGGCTGTTTGTTGTTAGTCCCTCCCCTGCCCTTGCATTTCAGCATTCTAGATCAGCACCTCAACATTCTCTTTGGCCTTTTGTTTCATCTACACAGGAGAGAAATTAGCCTTGTGTAAATAGGCCAAAGCTCCTTCAGACCTCCTGTCAAATTCAGGTGCTGCGATTTCATACATATCAGCCTCCTTTCACTTTGCGACAAAGCAGTTATTCTGAAAATTCTATTCAGGGTGTGCCAGGGGGCTGACACTACTGACCGTGCCTCTCTGTGACTTACTCTCTGATTGTCCTGCAGGGTTTTTCGCTCTGTGCAAACCTAACCAAGGGATGTGTTAATAAGGAGTCCAGAAACAAGCCACGTGGATGGTGAGCCTTGGTAGTCACCTGTTCAAAAGCACTGACAGCTTTCACCTTTTCCTGCTTCAGGCTGCAGACTTCCTTTGAAGTATTAGATATTGCAAGGCGAAGTCACCAACCGGACATTTTTTTCCCATGACTGATGTTGTGTTCAAATATCGATACCAGAATAAATGGAAAGCTGATGCTTTGGCCTCCCCCGCCCGCCAAAAGGCCTCATTTTAGTGAACATTAGTTCCATGGAAACGGCTCTTTCTGTCAGCAGATAGTTCTTACAGGTTTGGGTAGCCAGCTGGCATTTCTAGATGATCTTCTCTTTCACCTTTCAAGTCATTTGTGAAGATAAGAAGATGTTTCTAATTCTTTCCTTTAATATTAATAAATCTCCACTGAAGCAGCGTTTATGTGGTCTCTAATAAAGATATTTTCCAAGTAAAGGCCAGGCCACATTCTTTGCTGTCATAAATGGGCCTCCTTCCATTCACTTCAAAGGAGCTTTGCTCATTTCCCTCAGCAGAGAATCTGTTCCTTCCTTTGCACCCCAAATTCTCTTTGGAATCAATAGGCATTTGAGGTGTGCACGGACTGCAGTGTTGGGGAGGTCACCAGCCACATATAGAGTCATTTGCAGTTTTGACTTAGTTCTATGGCTCTCATTTGATGATGTGCCCTGTGGAGTTGTACTTTGTTTTATTGCTCTACATATATTTTAAATTCTTGTTAGAAGCTTATAAATAACATCTATTATCATTGGGGTTTTTTGGTTTTTATTGTTCTCCACTTGGCAAAGGTTGATTTCCTTTTCCTATCTGTCTTAACAAGTTTAAAATGGAAATACCCATTTCTACAAGCTTTTTTTATACATTGGCATTAATTAATGATGGCAGTACAACTGGTTGGTTAATAGTAGAGGGACCACTAGAGTATAAAAGATTGTTTTTGTGTAGGTCCAGCATAAATATTGGCTATAAAAAAATCTGGATGTCCTCCTGTATATGAGTTTCTAATGATCCCATCCTGGTAGTGTCTGTGCCAATTTCTTAACAGAAAGGTGGTTTTAAAAAAAAAACTTAATGGACTATATTAATCATATGTGATACAAAGGTGTAATCCCGGCATTACATGAAAATTTGAACAAAACTATGGAGCTATGTCTCCATGGTAATGGATTACTAGAAGCCAAAGAAATTCACTGAGGATTATAGCATGTTTTTAGGTCCAGTTGTGTGCTTAAGATACTTGGCAACTCTAAAACTGAAGTCACCAAAACAGACAGTTGCCATAGTAAAGTATTACATATTGTTTACTTGTTACCATGTAAATACAGAATTGTATTTTGGGGCTCTGTCTTTGTCATGCAAAATAAAAGGACATGACTGTTTATTGGCCTACTGTGTAAATGGCGTGGAATGTTTCTTTAGTGACTCTTACCTTTGGCACATCAATGTTGGACCAGGTGATATTGGGCACTGATGTTATAGGTTTAATGAGGACTGTAGGGAAGAAAAGGTTGTAATGTCCAGTGGCCGCAGAGTATAATGTCAGTGCTGCATTGAAAGGCAGTGTGAAAACAGGAATATCCCACTTACTGAAGATTGAGCCTAAAGCACTGGAGAAAACAGGGCTGAAAGAGAAAAACAAAATTATCTCATTAGAAGCTCATGAAGATTAATTCCTCAGATCACTCAGCCAGGCAAAAACTGTCCATTATCCTGACAAATAATTTAGGAAACGCATACTCTTCATGCCTTTTGGTTTTTGTTAGGAGCTGTTTGAGTTCCAAAGGTCCTTCTGATACAATCAGATTTATTTCAGGTTATCTTGAAAGTCCTGCATCCATACTTGTGCATTGCAATCAGCAATATTCAGATTTCCTCCTTGCTTTAATTACCCTAAAAATATTTAGGGACAGATTTTCAGTTGGTGTGAACTAGTGAAGCTTTATTGACTTCAATGAAGCTGATTTACACCAGCTGAGGATCTGGCCTTAATTTATTATTGCTAGAGAGGGGCCCAAATCAGACCAGAGCCAAGCCGTGAGCTAGGAGAAAGCTTGGAGTCTATCCAAGCTTATGGGTTGGGACCCTGGATAATTAAAACAATAGACAAAACCTATGACCATTCGAGTTACAGCAACAAAACTGGTTATAATTCACCACCTGATCTTCAGGCAGACAAGAGAATCTATGAGTTTCAGCCCTTTCCGGCAAAATGTCCTGAGTTCAGAAGATGACTGCCAATCTGCCTGGGCACATCGTTGTTTGATAGGCCAGTAAAATATCATTAGTTGTTTTCATTATCATCCATCATCATGGTTAAGGGCAGGTGAGTAGGTTTTGTGCCTGGGCTGGTAAATTTTTATAACATTTTTACAATACCCATTTATACAAGTAAAAGAATAGATGAAAAAAATATGGTTTACAAGGGCAGGGAAATGGTGAAAATAATGTTGTTCTTCACATTACAATGGGCAACTGACATACAGCCATATGGCTAACATTGAGGACATTGAATTAATTTCAGTTAAACATGGAATTTACATGTAAACTGGGAATTTATTTTAGAAAGGATTAAAAAGGTAAATGACAGCAAAAAATCACAGCTTTAGAAGCCAATACCTGAGTGGTATACTCCTGAGGGAATTTTGCATCCCTCCCCCCAAAATTCTGAATACAGTATTTTAAAATGTTGCAAATTTTTTCAATAAATAAATGTGGAGTCTCCCACATGGCCATGGGGAACAGAGGCCACTGGCTGCACAGAGGTGGGAGATCACCCTGCAGCCCCCGGCCCTGGCCCCGGACTTGGCGGTGAGGCTGCACCTGCCCCAGAAACACCCCAGGGCTCTGCTTCTCCACCCAGGCACACCAGGTGTGGCTGGGGAGGCTCAGCCTGGCAGGAGCCAAGTGTGGAGGGGTTTATTGTGGGGGATCCAGGTGTAGGGTGAGAGGGCTCTGTGCAGGGCAATCTGGGTGTGGGCAGCTCTGTGGGCGGTCTGGGTGCGGGGGACGGATCTGGATGCACAGGGGCTCATTGGGGGACAATTGGACTCTGCAGGGGGATTCAGGCAAAGGTGGTTGGGGCTCAGCAGAGGGGGTCTGGGTGTGGGGGACTTAGGGAGGGAGTGGGACTTGGTGGGGGTCCAGATGCAGCTGGTTGGGGCTCAGTGAGGTGAGGGTCCGGGTGGTGCAGGTGGGATGGGGCTCACCAGGATGGGTGTTTGAGTGCAGGGAGCTCAGTGGGGGATGGTCTGGGTGCAGGGGTGGGGGTCCAGATGCAGGGAGGGTGGGGATCAGGGGAGTCCGGGTGGGGAGGTGGGGCTTGACGGGGGAGTCTGGGTGCAGGGAGGTGAGTCTTGGTGGAGTGGGCGATTGGTGGTAAAGGTTCTGGATGCTGGGGGAGTGAGGCTTGGCGGGGGATCTGGGTATGGGGGGATCCGGACGTGCAGGCTTTGGGCAGACTGGGGAGCAGCTCCCTATACAGTGATCTATCTCCCCATGACTGAGGAGCGATGGGGGCAGGAAGTGCATGTGTGTGTGCGTCACAGCTTCCTGCAGCCTGAGGAGGTTTCTGGGGGTGGGGCTGACCCAGTCCTAGCCGCTCCTTTCAGGAGAAGAGGAGTTATGCCTGGCACAGGGTAGGAGCCACCAACCAGGGCGTTCCCATCCCCCAACCCCCGCGCTGGTGCAGTGATTTCCCTCTCTGCTAGCTGCTCCAGGTGCCTGAAACGACTTGCCTGCGCTCCTGGGGAGGGGCGCATGACCGCTCTTGCGGCTTCCCTTTACTTCCCTGTCAAAAAGTCATTTTTCTGCAGAGAAGCAAAGAAATCTGTGGGGGACATAAATTCTGCATGTGCACAGTGGCCCAGAATTCCCCCAGGAGTAAGAGTAGCATGATTTTATTAGATATTATTAAAATAAATGCAAGACAACATATGACAACCAATGTCTCAGGAACAGAAGGAATCAGAATCCAAGCACCGGTGCACCTCAGTTCCTCTTATTCTCTGCCTGTGACACATAGGAGTCTAGTCTGTGGGGGCTGTAATATTTTGGTCTCATTTCAGTTGTTGGGTTTAGTGGGTGGGTGTTGGTGGTCTATGATATGCAGGAGGTCAGACTAGATGATCTGGTGGTCCCTTCTGCCCTTAAATTCTACAACACAGAAGCCTAAAAGTGTGCGACTTACCATGTCATGGATACAAGAGCAACAGGCAGTAGAAGCCACCAATAGAAATCTCCCTTGTCAGAGAATACAGCTATGAGCAGTCCCACCAGGACCCCATTATAGCCATGCAGTCCCGCTGCTATGGATGATCTGTGGGAGAAAGACAATTGACTTGAAGGTTTTGTTGTTATTGAAATGCATCATCACTTAACACTGTCCCTTCACCTGTTGTGAATCGCTGCTTCCTGTGCTGGAATGTAATTTCCAGGTGTGCTGCATACCAGTGGAATTATACCAGTGTAAAACCAGTGTGAGAGAAGAATCAAGCCCTAAAAGTCCTGGCTGCCAGGTCCTTGGTCTTGTGGTTAAGGTACTGGACTGCTCATTGAGAAATCTGGATTCAAGTCTCACCTATGATACAGGCTTCTTGATGACAAGGAGCAAGTCATTTAACTTCCCTGGGCTTCTGTTCCCCATTTGTAATGGGGAAAGTGATACTTTCTTTCTCCCACCCTCTGCCTGTCATGTCGATTGAGACTGTAAGCTCTTTGGGGCATGGATTGTCTCTTACTATGTGTATGTACAGTGCCTAGCACAGTTAGGGTGACCAGGTGTCTGGTTTTCGACCGGAACACCCAGTTGACAAGGGATCCTGGTGGCTCTGGTCAGCACAGCTGACCAGGCTGTTGACTGTCTGGTTGGCAGCACCATACAGCAGGGCTGGCAGGCTCCCTGCTAGCTTCTGCACCATGCGTGTCCCGGGAAGCAGCCGGTATGTCCCCCCTCCGGCTTCTATGCATAGTGGAAGCCAGGAGGCTCTGCACTCTGCCCCCGCCCCAAGTGCTTCCCTCGTAGCTCCCATTGGCCAGGAACCAGAGCCAATGGGAGCTGCAGGCATGGCACATGTGGAGGGGGCAGCATGCAGAGCCTCTGCATAGGAGCCAGAGGGGTGACATGCTGGCTACTTCTGGGAGCTGCTTGAGGTAAGCGCCACCCAGAGCCTGCACCCTTGACCTCCTCCCGGGCCCCAACCCCCAGCCCCAGCCCTGATCCCCCTCCCGCCCTCCGAACCCCTCAATCCCAGCCTGAAGCACCCTCTTGCACCCCAAACCCCTCATCCCCAGCCCCGCCCCAGATCCTGCACTCCCAGCCAGAGCCCTCACTCCCCCTGCACCCCAGGCTCCTGCCTCAGCCCTGATCTCCCTCCCGCCCTCTGAACCCCTGAATCCCAGCCTGAAGCACCCTCTTGCACCCCAAATCCTTCACCAGCCCCACCCTGGAGCTTGGACTCCCTGCAGGAGTCGTCACTCCCCCCCCGCCACACCCCAGCCTAGAGCCTCCTCCCGCATCCTGAACCCCTCATTTCTGCTGAACAAGACTGTGGAACATAGATGTTTGCTCTCCCTAATACTGTCTGTTTCCCCCCCCATAGAAAATAAAAGATGCCCCCAAAGAAGCCTTCAGGAGCTCAGTATAGGAAGTGAAAAGCTCAGGTGCAATCTCGTTTGCAGCAAGGGGCAAATTGGATGGGAACATATCTGAAACAGAACAACACATACTGGGCTTTAGGCACTAGTGATCGTCCCAGTGCAGAAGAAATTGAAGAGCAAAGCATAAATGATGGAAGTCCTGTTACTAAGGAATTAGCAGATTTACTTAAAGATAAGGAATGGAAATATGAGGAAAGTGGTGAAGAATTGTCCAGTTTTCCTGGCGGTGTAAAGGAGAGTGATGATAAAAGAAAAATCTGGTTTACATGAAAAGGAGAGAAACAATAGAGAAGAATCAGCCTTGCATGATGACAGAAACAGCAGTGAGAAAAATTGCACCCCACAAATCGATACATCAGATCCCGCTTTATGGCCAGTGATCCTAAACTCTGCCGATACTGATCATACAATTTTGAATGGGCTGGGCAAAATCAAGGACATGACATTTCCAGTCAGTGAGCAGAAGCGACACTTCTCAAAGTCACACTGCAAAAGAGTGCTAAAGAATGGTGAGAAGCTGACTCGGTGTTGGCTAGTTTACTTGAAATCAACTGACAACATATTCTGTTTTTGTTGCAAAATATTTGACCAGAATACTAAATCGTTGCTTGCGCTTTCCGGGTACAGCTCCTGGCATAACTTAGCTGATGATCAGAAGCACAATGAAAAGTCACCAGGTAATTTTACAGCCTACTCCCAACGGATGGAAATCAAGTCCAGGCTCAAGTTGAATAAACGCATAGACACGGAAAACCAGCAGAAGACCATTTTCTGGTTTGTGGATGACGCTACTGGAAAAGGCCTAACAGAACTGTTTATGAACCTTTTGAATGAGAATAAAATAAAGCTTCAGGACTGCCACGACCAAGACTATGACAGTGATGCAAACATGAAGGGAAGAAACAGTGGTGTCCAGGCAAGGATCCGTGCGCTGAATCCAAGAGCTTTCTTCGTGTCTTGTGGCTGCCATTCCCTCAGCCTGGTTCTGTCAGATGCAGTGTCATCTTCATTAGATTCAATATCTCTCTCCAGAGTACTGCAAAGGAGATACATCCTGTCTTCAGCGTCAACTATCAGATGGAAGATCCTCACAGACAATGTTACAAATCAGTGATACTCACTGGGAGAGTCGCACTGACAGTGTAAGGCCAGTGAGATAGCTCAGTGACTGAGGTTTACAATGCCCTGATGGAACTGGCACAATTGAGTAAAGCGGAAGCCGGAATCTGACATGAGGCGTAAAGCCTGGCAAACCACATCACCGACTTCAAATTTCTGGTCTCAGTTGTGGTTTGGCACGATATCTTGTTCCAAGTAAATGTTGTAAGCCAGGGATTACAAACCTCAGTCAGTGGACATCGCGACTACTACTACTTTGATGAGAAGCTGCCGTGATTTCACAGTGGCCTACAGAGACAATGGATTTGAAGATGCTACCACTACTGCCAAAGAAATGGCAGAAAACGTAAAGAGTTGAGCCTGTCTTCAAGGAAATTCGTATTCATTGGAAGAAGAGACAGTTTGCTTATGAGGGAAGAGAAGAGGTGATGGGAAGCTTGGAAATAAAATTCAAGAGTTTTTCTGCATGCTCATAGACACTGCTCAAGTGTCTATCAAAGAAAGCTTTGGACAAATGAAGCACCATGAAATGACCTGGGCGGGGGGTTGTATGACCTTAGTAAGCTGCTGGCGGACAGGAAAACACTCTTGAACAATTGCATGGACCTTCGCCGGACGCTGACACATGGGTAATGTTAGGATGTCAATGATAAAGGCCTCTATGTTGAATTGGACAACATCCGCCACATTTTGCAACACGGGAAGCACTCTCCATTCCAAGTTCTCCAGTTCATTCATGAGGCAGAGCTGAAGGACACTTTTCCTAACCTGGGGGTAGCTTTGAGGCTTCTGCTCACGGTGCCAGTCACAGTTGCGAGTGATGAGTGCAGCTTTTCGAAGCTGAGGCTTGTGAAACCTATCTTTGACTGATGATGATGACTGGTGCCTCCCTATATTTGGGGGGGCACCAGCTAAAATGGAGGACATGTGACCTCCCCACGTGTCTCCTCCCTGCCCTAACCCCAGCCTGGGGCCCTACACTGTCCCCGCCCCCTCACCCCACCGTACATTACCTGTGGGGCGGGGGAGAGGCTCTGTCCTTCTGCTGTGCCAGCTTCCCCTTCCACCCCCGGCTATGTTCAGCTGCTCTCCCTGGCAGCCTGCCCAGTGCTGGGAGCGGGCCGGAGCTGCTCCCAGTCGCTGCTGCTCGGTGCAGCCTAGTCAGTTGTCTGGGAGACAGCCTGGCTAGAGAGGGGCGGTAGCGGCAGCCCACTCCCTGCTGCAGCTCAGCTTCCGGGACACAGGCTGAGCAAGCTGGACCCCCCCTCCTTCCCCCCCCCACCCACCGGCATGCTCTGTGCGCAGCAGCACCTGCCTGGGAGAGAACCTGGTCAGGGAGGCGCGGCAGCAAAACCTTCTCCCTGCCCAGGCTTGGCTTCTGGGGACTTTAGGGGGGGCTCCAGCTTGCTTGGCCACTGTCCGTGGAAACCCAGCCTGGGCAAGGGGCAGCCACCACAACTAGGTGCTCTCCTAGGTAGCTGCTGTGCTCCGGCCCCACCTCTTCTAAGGCTGTCACCTACTGTAACACTATTTGATACCGGTCCACCCAGTGCTGGTGCACACTTCCATTTCTTGATGTTAGTACATTTCAGTTATACTTAAAATTAAAAAGTTTCTATAAGCTAAGAGGAAATCAATTTTTTAAATTTGCTTATATATGGCAAGAATAAATACAGATGTACAGATCCTAGCGTGCAAATTTATCGTCTTGTGTGATAGGGATAAATCATGTATGCAAATCGTGCATCAAAGTCATGCAATGAGCTACAATGCAATAAAAAATAAGGTATTCAAAAGTTTAATGGAGGGGGAGGGGCGCCAAACACGCTCCTCACCTGGGGTGCCATTCGGTATAGGGCCAGCTCTGGGGAGGGGTTGCAAGGGCTTTGGAGGATAGGATGAAAATTCAAAATGGTCTGTAGCAAACAGGATGAAATTCAATAAGGACAAATGCAAAGTAGTCCACTTAGGAAGGAACAATCACCTGCACACATACAAAATGGGAAATGACTGCCTAGGCAGGAGTACTGCAGAAAGGGATCTGGGGGTCATAGTGGATCACAAGCTAAATATGAGTCAACAGTGTAACACTGTTGCAAAAAAAGCAAACATCATTCTGGGAGTGTTGTAAGCAAGACACTGTAGCTCACGAAAGCTTATGCTCAAATAAATTGGTTAGTCTCTAAGGTGCCACAAGTACTCCTTTTCTTTTTGCGAATACAGACTAACACGGCTGTTACTCTGAAGACACGAGAAGTAATTCTTCCGCTCTACTCTGTGCTGATTAGGCCTCAACTGGAGTATTGTGTCCAATTCTGGGTGCCACATTTCAGGAAAGATGTGGACAAATTGGAGAAAGTCAGGAGGAGAGCAACAAAAATGATTAAACGTCTAGAAAACCTGACTTATAAGGGAAATTTGAAAAAAAATGGATTTGTTTAGTCTAGGGAAGAGAAGACTGAGAGGGGACATGATAACAGTTTTCAAGTACATAAATGGTTGTTACAAGGAGGGGAAAAATTTGCTCTCCTTAACTTCTGAGGACAGCCATGGGTGGTGTGTGACTCCTGCATTTTGGGATGCTGTGTGCAAGTGCCGGACACTCCCTAAAAGTGGGGGACCATGCCCCTTGCTCTGCTTTGAGGCCCACACCTGCTTGGGCTTCTCTCCCTAAGGCCCCACCCATTCTCCATCCCCGCGAATGCGGATATAAATTGGATGTCCGTGGAGCTGCAGGGCTTTACTGGGAACCGCTGTCCCTAGTCATGCAAGTGGCTGCACGCTCCTGGACAAGACTAGTGCGACCAGGGACAGCTGCTGGTGAGCCTGGTGCCCTTCAGCCACACTGGAAGAGCTGCCGGCACAGGGCATGGCTTCCTGGTAGCAGCAGCCCGATGTGCTGCTGGTTTTGCTGTTGCGGTTCCCGGTACAGCCCTGCAGCTTCACGGATATCCGATTTATATCTACAGATATCTGCATCCATGGATATACATTTGGATCCATGCAGGGCTTGACTCTTCACCCTTTCTCCCAAGATCCCCTCCTGCCCACTACTGGCCCCTTTTCACCCCCTTTCCAGACCTGCCCTGCCTGCCGGGGGCGGAGAGGTGCGAGTGGCAGGTGGGTGGGGTCTCTGGGTAAGGGGAGGAGTGGGGACAGGCCCTCAGGAGGAAGAGGCGGAACATGGGTGTAAGAGGAGCAGCGTGGGCAGGGCCATAGCCCCAGCACCCTTTCAGCAGTGGCTCTCCAAAGGTTGCAGTTCGGTGCTCCTCCATAGGAAGGTGGCTTAGCCTCCCCTGGCCTATTATACCCACCGCTCATGAGGGTAGGACAAGAAGCAATGGGCTTAAATTGCAGCAATGGCGGTTTAGGTTGGACATTAGGAAAAATTTCCTAACTGCCAGGGTGGTTAAGCACTGGAATAAATTGCCTAGAGAGGTTGTGGAATCTCCCTCATTGGATATTTCAAAGAGCAGATTAGACAAGCACCTGTCAGGGATGATCTAGATAATACTTTGTCCTGCCATGAGTGCAGGGGACTAGAGTAGACGACCTCTCCAGGTCCCTTCCAGTCCTACGATTCTATAATTCTATGATATAGCTAGCTCAGACTACAACCGAGGTGAAGCCATAGCAGCCTGGGTTGTACAGCCCCGCCCAGCACTCTGGTATGTACTTCAGCAGCTATGGCTTCACTGTTATTGTTATTCCAGCTGGCTAGGCCAAAGCTAGCTCAGGTTTGTCTATTGCAGCGTGCACCTATCCTAACTCCTGGGCTTGTTTTGCCTCAGTTAGGATTTCAGGAGCTCGGGCCTTGAAGGTGTAGGAAAAATGTATTTCTTAGTGAAGACAGCATTCCCCAGAGGTTATGTTTCAGAGTATAACAACCTATATAAGCACTTTTTCTTTCTATTAATATGTTAAGCTAAGGCAGTACTAGCTACTCAGCACATCAGGATCCTATTTCTCACTTATCACAATATTTTAAATCACAAGACCAACCTACCTGTCCTGACTCAGAATAAGTGCTGTTAACGTTGAGACAACAGTTCCTAAACAGCCTGTGAGCGTCCACCAACGATTCTGGACAAGGAACCCAACAATCATGATAAGCCCACTGATAGGGTTATTGACGAACATCACCTGGGATGTCCCTCGCAGGACCCAGTCGACAAACTGAAACGGGAGCGGTTTATCTGAAATAGATCACATTGTAAACACTTGGTAAATGAGATGGTCTGTCCAGGATGGTTTTCTGGAAACGCATGGAGAAATGCAAGGATGCCGCACTGCTTGGCAGCAAAACCAAGGCATGTATCAACGAGGCTGTAAAATTCAACTCAGATTTTATGATTGCCTGGATAATGGTCTGCAGCTGGAAAACTAACTGAGATGAATAGCACAGCTGTTAGAATTCCCTATTCTAAAGCATACGGTGCCAGATTTATACAAACTGCTGACGTATGATGTCTGCATCTTGGATGGCAGGTTAGGTGAGTATCTTGATGCTGATTTATTGAGAGATCAAAACCCATGGATGAATGATTTAACTTCACACTGGTGTTTGGGCATGATAAACATTAGTCTGTGGGAAAGAAAGGGGCACATGATAAGGAATGAGCCAGCATTGAAATAAACATCCTCTGTTACGCTCACAAGATGAAATTCACTCCTCTGCAGAGGGGCCGGCACAATGGGGTGAATTTCAGCTTATGCACCCTCTGGACTTGGATGGTGGATGAGCCTTGGTTTGGCTCTTTGCACAAGGGGGCATTTCCCCTACAATGTAGGAATGGTTCAGTATTATCATTTCTGTTCTGCAGTTTATTGAACCAGCTCATCCTTGAATTAGTTAACACAGATCGAACATGCTGGTCGCTATTTATTAGCCACAGTGCTTTTCTGATGTATTCAAATTGGCTCAGTTGAAATGGGCTTACCTTGAAGCCAGTCTCCAAACTCTTTCATGTCTCCTGTGATATAGCAAATGGCTTTGCAGACTTGTTTCCCACATTTTCTCACTGGAGTCTGGTTTTGTGTCTTCTTTTCCCCTTTCATTTCTATCTTGACTTCAGCACCCTCCATGGTTGCTTTTAGAGCCTTTGAAGGAATTCAGAAAAGGAGACAATGCATTACGATGCCCCAATATGTCTGTTATTTATTCCCTCTGCCACTTAGTATGTATTGCACACTGGAACTGGGAGCAATTAGAGAGAAGGTGGTCTATTATGGAACTATCTGCTTTTCTTTAAAGTATCGCTCTTCACTGGAAGAGAAGGTCATATCTTTAATCTCTCTCAGGTTCTCTGTATTGCCCCTCACCACAATACCCAAGGTCAAGATTTTCATAGTTTCATAAATCTGAAGGCCAGAAGGAACCATGGTCATCTAGAATTACCTGAGGCATAACCTGGGCCATAGTTTATCTCAGTAATAACATGTGGTTCAGCTACAACCTAGAAATAAATCAATCCTTGATTTAAAGGGTGAAACCATGGCCCTATTGAAGCCAATGAGAGTTTTGCCACTGATGTCAGTGGAGCCAAGATTTTGTCCCAAAATTCCATGTTATGGAGAATCCACCACATCCCTTGGGAAGCTGTTCCAATGGATATGTACACTCACTGTTAACATTTTTTTCACCTTATTTTTGGCTTGAATTTGTCTAGCTGTTTCTTCCAGCCTTCAAAAGTGAGTGCTTAAAGTTAGGACCACGTGTCCATATTTAATCACTTAAATGAAGTCAAATACAGCAAAGCACAAAAAAACCCAGGCTTAACTTTAAACATGTGCATTGTCCCTCACACCACTACTCCCTTGGATAAAAATAAGCGTGTGCTTATATGTTTGGCTGAATTAGGGTCGTAGGTGCAGATCCTCAAAGATATGTAGGTGCCTAGTTCCCATGGAGATCAATGTGAGTTAGGCATCTAAATGTCCTTGCGGTTATAGGCCTGAATGCCTGATTTTCAAAAGTGCTCAGCACTTATTTAAGAGACTAGGGGCCCGATCTGAGGCCTGTTGAAGTCATTGGAAAGACTTTATGAATGTAGGATCCTAATCACACACACAATTTTTGAAACTCTTGTCTCAAGTGCTTAGGGAGCAGTTCCCAATTTAGCGCCACGAGCTCAAAATCCACAAAGCTTTCACTGGAATTCACTCACTATTTGGAGTGATAGGACCCATCCAGGCCAATTGTTGAGGAAAAGCAGACATTGCAGTGAACGGCAAACTAAAGCTACATCTGTTCTGATTGGTGGACTATTGCCTACACAGGAAGCAAAATGTACTAGGGCACCCCTACTGGTTAAGACTGTGAGTAGATAATTTAAATATGACACTATTTCACACACAAAGATTATAATAAATCTATAGCTGGTTAGGACTTAACAGTTATCACTATGCTGCACATTATGGTCATTTGGAGCTTCATGGCAGCAGTAGGGATAGAAATCATGCTCCAAAAGTACAGGCCCTATTATTTACACTAAAGGAGACTCTCCCTTAGCTGTAGTAGTTTAGGGCCTATAACACACAGCTGAGCAGTTCTGACTCAGTCTGGAGGAACACATGGTTACATGCACACACTGGTCACCAGTTTACTGCCATAGACTATGGCACAACTTTGAAAAAAATATAAAAATCAATTTTTGCCCAAACATACAAAAATCACATTTTTTTTTGAAAAACCAAAACTCTGCTAGTGTAGGTGCCTCACCAAAACCAGTGCAGTTGTGATCCCTGCTTGGAAGAGCGTACAATCTTACTTCAGGTGTGTGACCCAATCAATAGGCGGTATCAACAGACCAGTAAGGGGAGCGAAAAGGAAGAAAATGATGACAATAATAAGATCATGTGGTTACTCAGTGCAGCACGGGCTGTGCGTACATATCTCCATGGTTCTGTTACTCATTTTTGTTTTTTGTTTAATCTTCCCACGTTCTTCACTTTCCTAGGCATAATCGCTGCACCAGATGCGTTGTACTTTTATTATTTTTTAAATCTTTCATTTCAGAATGGGGTTCTACTTGGCCATTCCAGTATCAAAAATCAAGTATCAGAATTTTCCCATCCGAGAAAAGTGCTTGCAGGCAATGGATGAATGTACAAACAAATGACTCAGCACTTAAACAAAAGAATGATTTCCCCCCCCCCCGTTAATTATTATGCAGAAAAAAACTGGCTACTTCATAAAACCAATAGAAAGTGTGTTTTGGGTTTGGCAGAAAAATGCAATCTGTATGCAGCATTTAGCATTCCTCACATGCTTCCTTGCATTCTAATTGAGTAACTAGGTATTTGTGTACACGATAAGCCTACTGATAGGGTTATTGACGAAGATCACCTGGGATGTCCCTCGCAGGACCCAACTGACAAACTGAAACACGAGTGGTTTATCTGAAAGAGATCATGCAGTAAACACTTTGTAAATGAGATGGTCTGTCCAGGACGGGTTTTTTAAAACACACAAAGAAATACAATGACGCCACACTGCTTGGCAGCAAAACCAAGGCATCTACCCATAAGGCCGTAAAACTCAGATTTTATGATTGCCTGTACAATGGTTTGCAGCTGGAAAGCTAACTGAGATTGTTTACATCAAAGTAATTTGGAAAAGTTACACAGTAGGGAACATAATGTCCCTACTAAGAAGGGTCTGCATACCTGGTCAGGTAAGTTGTATAGTAGAGATGAAAATGGTATATGCTTAAGGCCTAAATTCAAGACAGCACATACTTAACTGTCTGTATATGCACAAGTCCATTCCTATTAAGTAAGGAATTTAAGAATAGGCTTATTCCATTGAAGCCAACAAGGGATTTAAGTGTTCTGTTGAACAGGAGCCTACATTAATAGTGAAATTTAAACTTTATTGGTGCGTAGTGTCTATGCAGAACCTGCCCTGTGATGAAAAACATGGTTAGGGCAGCTTCCAATAGTTTCCGCTCTTTGTTCAAAGGAACACTTGCCCTGGGATATAGATTAATGCTGGCACATTAGTGCTTTAAGCTTCAGTGAAATGTGGAGTTCTTAATGTAAGAGAATGTGTGAATGCCAAGAGGACCTAGTCATTATGTTATTCATCAGGTCACGTGTTCTGAAACGCTTAAGGGGACAGTCAATTAGTTTAAATACAATTATCTTATGGGACAAATTCTGCTCTCCACTATGCAGGTGTAAATCTGGGGAACTCCACTGAATTGAGTGGAATTGCCCTGGATTTTCATGGGCATAACTGAGGGCAGAAATTGCTCCAGTTCTCTGTGAGGGGCAGCGAGGCAAAGTGAGAGGAGAGTGTGACATTTGTTTGGATGTGTCCCTCCACTGTTCTGGCCTGAACTTCAACCTCAGAAGAAGCTGCATTAAAGCTATGCCTATCTGTTCTTCCAGCATATCCAAAAGCGGCACTCTTGCAGGGAGGTCTGGAGAGTGTGCTGGCCAGAGGTGGTGCTTTCACTCAGATTCGTTAGGCCTGCGTCCATCAAGAGAAGAGTCAGCCGAGAGTGGCCTACTGGAGATGTCACAAATATGGCTCAGAGAACATCCATTCATTCCTCCTAGCGTGTCATGTGTGATAAAGGGCAAGCATAAGAAAATCAGTAGGAAACATGCCCACAGCAGCATGGCATGTAGTAGGCAGAGTTCATGATTAATCTCAGGAAGGGTCATGGGATTATTAAGGGCCAAATCCTGTTTTCATTGACTTAAATGATGCAGGATCAAAGCTTGGATTCCAAATTACTGGCTTATTCTTGTATGAAATGGCTCATCTATCAAAATAGCTATGTAATGTGTCCTGGCTTTCTTGCCATGATATTAGCAGTATGCTTGCTGCTGGAGGATGGGGAAATCACTTTATTTTGCCCAAAAGTCTTGTATGATTTGGTCTTTATATTGTTATAAACAAATATATTAATAAAGAACAAGATGAGTATCTCTCCTACCCAACCCTGCCCCTACCCAAAAGGACAGAGAACTCTGTACAACCTGCAAGGTGTAAACTAAATATTTATGGCTCCATCTCGTGCTCAAAGGAAAGCTGAAGTGAGATCTGACCCATTGAAAAATTGAGTCTGACAGAGGAGGTTTTTGAATGTTTTTAATGAAACTGCAGACTTACAGAGGTTTTCATTGCAGTCTAAGATACTATAAGGTAATAACATGAAATCTTAAGTTGAAAAATGTGCTCACAGGGCCACATTCTGATCTAGGTTACATGGGAGTAAAGTTGGAGTAAGTCTCTTGAATTCATGGTAGTTACTCAGGCCAGCAAGTCGTCCTTTAATAAATAAATATGCTATTAAAGTAAAATTAACATTGATTTTTACTCTTCTAAAGAGTATTTTAAAGGAGAGGTGAGGAGGAACTGGAAAATGTACATCAAGGGACAATTCTGCAGTGACATGTGACTGGAATAATTGGCTTCAATTTCTTTTGTTTCTCTCTGAGTTTCGTGATCCTGTAAAAAAAATGTTTTTTTTTTTGTTCTAAGATTCCAGTGAAGGGTTAAATTCTGTTCTTGATTATGACAGGTTTCAGAGTAACAGCCGTGTTAGTCTGTATTCGCAAAAAGAAAAGGAGTACTTGTGGCACCTTAGAGACTAACCAATTTATTTGAGCATAAGCTTTCGTGAGCTACAGCTCACTTCAGATCCGATGAAGTGAGCTGTAGCTCACGAAAGCTTATGCTCAAATAAATTGGTTAGTCTCTAAGGTGCCACAAGTACTCCTGTTCTTGATTATGCCTCTGTAAATCCAGAGTAACTCCATTGGTCTCTATGGATTTACAGTGATAATGTATAACATGTGCTCCCTACTGGTTTGGTATGAAATCATTAAAAAAACAAAACCAAAATCTGCTGGTTGATCGATAGAACCTACAATAAAAGTAGATGAGCTAAGGAATATTCCTTATTTTGTGGGAGTTTCATTTGGAACACGATACAACTCAATGTATGGGTCTGCTCCAACTCCTATTTTATACAGCTCAAGAGTGAGAGATAAACACCCAAGAACTGCATTTAGAAAGTGATCAGGATGCAAGGAATTTATCTGACCAAATTCTGACCTGTCACATCACAGAGTTACTCTATTTACTGCTGATTTACACAAAGTGGGTGCATTGCTTACATTATCCAAAGATTCCAACTACTTTTTTAGACTCCCCTTGCCTTGAGAATTTTGAGCTGTCAGATAAAATATCTCACTGTAGCCGTAAGTAAATTATAGCCTTTCGAAGAACAATACTGTTTAGTTAAAATATTTCATAGTTATAATGAAATAGCCCTATCGGAAGAAAAAAAACCTACATGAATTTCTGATGTACAAAAATTAAGCTACGGAAGTGATTCTTCTGCAGTGAATGAGAAGCCAATTGATTGTTCTCTCTCATCTATCCAGAACCAATATGTCTTAAATGGAGCTCTGGGTATTGCATAAGTTTATCCTCTCCCCAAATCAAGTCAATTCCATTCTGCTGTACATTGCAACCATAGCATTCTGCTGCCACCACACCTACAGGAGTGACCTACTAAAGCTGAAGAGAGGTGAAGTGGATGGTGGGGTTTGAATCCTGGAACATCTGGCATGGGCTGTAAATATTATTTCACATATTGAAATAAAATTGTAGTCCATTCATTAGAAAATATACATTATAACACACGAGTACAAGCTCTACTTGTAGCGGGTAAAGGACCAGAGACTGTCATTAGAATTATTAGCTCAATACTCACAGATAATGCTGATTTCCAACTTCTCTCCTGTGCGTTTTGGGGGGAGGAGGGAGTTGATCTTTGCCTACTGATCTGCAGATAGAAAAGGTATTCTCTTCTCTACACTAGAATTTCTCTTGTTGCCAATGTGACCCTGAGGATTTTCAAGTTTCTCTATAATTTTAAGAGGATTTAAAGCCCCAGGTGGTCCTTCTTTATTCCAGTAGATTCCAGCATGCAGTTACATTCATTATATCTCACTTCCTTCAGGATTGTTATTGTGAAAGATTTTGAGCTGGCGTAAGTCAATGTGGCTCCATTGACGCTGATTAAGATCTGTTCCCATATATCTAAGTTCATGTTGCTCAATATTAAGTACAAAATGCATATTTTGTGATGTGCATGCGTGCACGCGCACACACAATCCCAAATGTTGGCAAGCTTCTAATGCATTTATTATGCTTGCTAGACATGCTCCATTGCATAGGGTAAATGTGCAATTAGAAAAGTAGAGTTAGCTTACATTTGGTTAAGAAAATAACATATTTGGTTTATCGTTTGTGACTAGTAGGAAGAAGGCCCCAACCAGCAAGTAAAAGAAGGCTGTGAGAATAATAATTAATCTTACTTGTAGTGTGGGAAGGATGTATAGGAGTATAACAGGGTTTAAAAGAGAACTGGATAAATTCATGGAGGTTAAGTCCATTAATGCCTATTAGCCAGGATGGGTAAGGAATGGTGTCCCTAGCCTCTGTTTGTAAGACGGTGGAGATGGATGGTAGGAGAGAGATCACTTGATCATTAACTGTTAAGTTCACTCCCTCTGGGGCAATTGGCATTGGCCACTGTCGGTAGACAGGATACTGGACTGGATGGACCTTTGGTCTGACCCAGTATGGCCATTCTTATGTTCTTATGTATGATTCCAAAACTAACTAATAAAATAAAGAGCTGCAGTAACAAGACAAAGGGAAATTGTCTTCAAAGAAACAAGCCCAAAGAAACAAGCCTGTTCTGCTGGCAAGCAAGGATGGGGAGAGAAATAAGAAAGGAAGGCCTTGGAGGAAGGAATGAGCAAAGATAAAGTGCTTCAAACTGGGTTTTTGCTAAAACTAACAAGTTAGCTGAAGAGTATAAAGACAGACATGAAACTATAGGTTCTTGGTCAGACCCTACCTGATCATACTGAAAGACGCCAGAATGAGATGGTCATCCCTAGGTTTGGCCTATTTGTAAGTATACTGCTCACAAATTTAAGAACATTCTGTTACTATATTGGGTGTGGTGACTGCTTATTTTTAGGCTGACATGTTTACAGCAACTGCATAAAATACCATTTGGGCTTTGGATTTAATGAAGAAATTTATAGTTAAATTAGTGTTTGGTGATTTCTCATATTATTATTCATTATTCCAACATTTTGATGACCCCTGAAGGGACCGCAGAAATGAACATCAGTTGCTGTAAACCCCCCAGAATGAAGGGGTAGCAATCTATCCTCGGGGGCCAGTATACAATTCTCTCCTCAAGAGAAATTCAGTAACACCAGGGGAACCGAGGGAGGTACTTTGGATACCGCTGTAAAAGAATGCCTGACAGAGCATGACCAAGGTCTGCTGAATGCCATAAAGAAATTCGTGACAGAGCCCTGCAAAGTCCTGGTGAATGCTGGGAAAAAGGCTGGGGAAAAGGCTAATGTAGTGCCCATCTTTAAAAAAGGGACGGAGGAGGATCCAGGGAACTACAGGCCAGTCAGCCTCACCTCAGTCCCTGGAAAAATCATGGAGCAGGTCCTCAAGGAATCAATTCTGAAGCCCTTAGAGGAGAGGAAAGCAATCAGGAACAGTCAGCATGGATTCACCAAGGGCAAGTCATGCCTGACTAATCTAATTGCCTTCTATGAGGAGAAAACTGGCTCTGTGGATGAGGGGAAAGCAGTGGACGTGTTGTTGCTTGACTTTAGCAAAGCTTTTGACACTGTCTCCCACAGTATTCTTGCCAGCAAGTTAAAGAAGTATGGACTGGATGAATGGACTATAAGGTGGATAGAAAGCTGGCTAGATTGTGGGACTCAACGGGTAGTGATCAATGGATCCATGTCTAGCTGGCATGCGGTATCAAGCGTAGTGCCCCAAGGGTCGGTCCTGGGGCCGGTTTTGTTCAATATCTTCATTAATGATCTGGAGGATGGCGTGGATTGTACCTTCAGCAAGTTTGCAGATGACACTAAACTGGGAAGAGAGGTAGATACACTGGAGGTAGGGATAGGATACAGAAGGACCTAGATAAATTGGAGGATTGGGCTAAAAGAAATCTGATGAGGTTCAACAAGGACAAGTGCAGAGTCCTGCACTTAGGATGGAAGAATCCCATGCACTGCTACAGACTAGGGACCAATTCTGCAGAAAAGGACATAGGGGTTACAGTGGACGAGAAGCTGGATATGAGTCAACAGTATACCCTTGTTGCCAAGAAGGCCAATGGCATTTTGGTCTGTATAAGTAGGGGCATCGCCAGCAGATCGAGGGACATGATTGTTCCCCTCTATTCGACGTTGGTGAGGCCTCGTCTGGAGTACTGTGTCCAGTTTTGGGCCCCACACTACAAGAAGGATGTGAAAAAATTGGAAAGAGTCCAGCGGGGGGCAACAAAAATGATTAGGGGGCTGGAGCACATGACTTATGAGGAGAGGCTGAGGGAACTGGGATTGTTTAGTCTGCGGAAGAGAAGAATGAGGGGGGATTTGATAGCTGCTTTCAACTACCTGAAAGGGGGTTCCAACGAGGATGGATCTAGACTGTTCTCAGTGGTAGCAGATGACAGAATGAGGAGTAATGATCTCAAGTTGCAGTGAGGGAGGTTTAGGTTGTGTATTAGGAAAAACTTTTTCACCAGGAGGGTGGTGAAGCACTGGAATGCGTTACCTGGTGGAATCTCCTTCCTTTGAAGTTTTTAAGATCAGGCTTGACAAAGCCCTGGCTGGGATGATTTAGTTGGGGATTGGTCCTGCTTTGAGCAGGGGGTTGGACTAGATGACCTCCTGAGGTCCGTTCCAACCCTGATATTCTATGATTCTGTGATTCTATGCTGTAAATAGATACATTATTGGCAAAGCATGACAGTGGGCCATTAAATGCCGCTAAAATTTTAAAGAATTTTAAAAGAAATTTGACGACCCTGGAGACAAATATCAATACTGCCTTCTTAAGCAATCCGAAGGTTAAAGAAAGCACAGACTAAGGCAGCTGTGTTTCAGGCACTGGACGCGGTGGTGAAGTCTGTCCGGGCAAAGAGCACCACCTTGATGTAGGAGTGCAAAAAACCCCAGAAATAAGTTCTGTGCCACTGAGAGAAATCAGCTGGTGAATGTATGTCTCTTTGGGAGATAAGTAAGTGATTTAAGGAAAGAGAGTGAGGAGTTCAAAGGAGCATTTGCACAAATTAACGCTACAGAGTTTGGAGGGTGTTGTGGAAATGGTAGCGTGAAAGTGTTATAAGAAGAGAATGCTTGGTTTGATAATAAAACCCACTTATGGCAGTACAGCTTGGTACACTCATGCCGGGTGGAGCCCTGGCAGTCAAACAAATTATACAGGAGGGCGGGGAGGTGAGGGGTCAAGGGGCAGCAATTACTACCACTATGCTTTTGTCCCCAGGAATCTTTACAGCCGTCCTGAAGGAAAATTGGGCCTTTTCTGAAAGGAATCACCTGAAAATAAACAATTATAAATGACAGCTGCAGGCAGAGAGACAGTGTGATTTGAATAATTTCACTATGAACGATTTAGTCAAAGTTACTAAAAGGAAATCAGGGTTTTCCATTGGAACTTGACTGGGGAGTGTAATCTGGGTACAACTGTGTAAAAATAATTAGGCCAGTGCCAGGGACGTTAAGAAAAGATTTTTTTTTTAATGTAAAACTCTATTTGTGTAATTAGGTAAGGGTTTAAGGACCTAAAGAAACACTTCTGGTTTATAAAACCCTATTTTGTATGTTTAAAATGAACTGGCTTTTTAAAAATGCCACTAAAAATCCATTTGAATTGTTCATTCAAAGTTGCAACAATGATAGACACATTTTGCCAGACACAGCTAGCTAGTGTTGTTTGGCTTTGTTATTTAGCATTTAATCCTTTGGGTGTCTCAGTGTTTTTATAAAGTTCAGCGTCCTGATCGTGGCTGTGGTGGCAGGGGCAGCCAGACCCAGAAGAGCGGGGAGAGACTCTGGATCCTTTTTCAGTAATAAAACAGCAGCTCAGAGCTGCTGGAGAAGAATGAGAAATTAAAATGACAGTGCCCCTCTGGAGCAATGGCAGGGGTGAGGTACATACGAGATGCAGTTAGGAACACTGGGCCTTAAGGTGGCTCTGAGTAATCAGACAGTCACGTTGATAATTGTGCATGGAAATTCTGACAGGTTTCAGAGTAGCCGCCGTGTTAGTCTGTATCCGTAAAAAGAAAAGGAGGACTTGTGGCACCTTAGAGACTAACCAATTTATTAGAGCATAAGCTTTCGTGAAGTGAGCGGTAGCTCACGAAAGCTTATGCTCTAATAAATTGGTTAGTCTCTAAGGTGCTACAAGTCCTCCTGTTCTTTTTATGGAAATTCTGTGAGCACAAAATAAATGGTTATACTTCATGTGAAAACTGATATGGCTATTATAATGTTGTAGCAAATAAAAAGTGCATGGTGAATTATGGAGGAATGTGTATGTCCCCATAGCATATGCAGGCGTAAAAGGAATGTAAACAAAACATGCTCCTTAATTAAAATCCTATGAGGGCTCCAGAGAGGAGCCATGGTAGGTTGTGCTTTCTTTTTCAGATTGCTGTGTGCTTTGGAACCACAACCCCGCGCCAAGAAAGATCAGTAAATATAAAAAAATGGTGCTTAACCATGAAAAATCGTATCTAAAAATTATGATTAACTGTGGTGTAAAGTAAATGTTATTAGGGAGCGAAAAATCTGTCTGGTGGTCTTTTGTAAGTGAAAAAGAATAACTGTATTGAAACTAAAGCAATAGTAGAAAAGATTAAAATGCCCGAGATAGAAAACAACTTCAACTAATTAGTGTTAAACCTATGAAGAAAAC